TTAAAATAAATAGTACCGCGTTTTAGGGGTGGTTTTTAAAGGCCATTTTAACACAAGGCTGTTCGAAGAGAACTTTCCTTTTTTCTTTTCACTCAACGTAAATTGACACTCGATATGTGTTTGATAAAAATTTAAATACCGGCCTTTGAGTAGCAATATGGTAATTTTTCTCTTTAAAAGTCGCCACTCAAAGTCTATTCGAACGTTACAAATTGTTTTTAACGAGCAAACAATTCCACTTGTCTTATTCTCGAGAACACAACAAGTGTCATGCGGTTGTTGCATAGAGGTCGTTGGTTATTTTTTTTTTCGATCTAGGGTCGTGACTGTGTCGAGTCGTCACAGTTAATTAACTTGCTGACAGCTAGCAAGTCGCTAGTAAGTTTGCACCGGTCTTAAGTCCAACCGGCTAGCGTTCGATAATAGGATCTGTTTGCAAGATGCGACGTATGTATACGTATAGCGTGTGTGTCGGCTTGGTGTTATTATTTTTCACGATTGTTGTGCCCTCGTCCGAACACAATCCCTTGGTAGGAACCACCGTCAATTATCTCGGATGACGCCGCCATAAAAGCCTCGTTGTATGTACAGTATAATCATCTCGTGAAAGCAACCGGAGAACAATATGCGACCTACGCTCGGCCACATTAACCGTGTGTGTATTCTTTTCTTGTTCTCAGCCTCTCCCGCTGTCTTTCTTATTTTCGCCGGAGTCCGTTGTTTTCTCCGACGGCGATACCTAGGGCCCTTAATTATTTTTTACACGACCCGCTCGGGTCATTTCGCGAAAAGTGCTCGCTGCCAGTGTCTTCCTTGTGGCCGCAAAGGTCCAAAATCCACGGGTCTGAGAATTTCCATCAAAAGCTGTGATTATTTTACTTGTTTTGTAATGACCATGTTCGAATGTACGTCGTATTTCAAGTCAACGTCACTTAATATGTATGACTATTATATGACTGATCACCGCGTTTAAATAGCTAATCCTTAAAAAAAAAACATTCTTCAAATTATCCCTATACTGGTGGCAAAAATATGATCCTCGTAGCTGTTTACAATTGACCGAGTGGCTTTGACAATGGTCCTTGAGACAAGCCGGGGATGTGAGGAAATGGCAATTATTTTGATTTTTTTCACCTTAGTCGTTCAAGCATAACAATGCTTGTGATTAACACATTTTTGCTGACCCGAACACACCCCGAATGGACAAACTCTACCATAATTTTATATTCACGGTTAATACTAAATAATTATAAATTACAGTGCTAATCCAAATTGGTCGGTTCTGTACAGTTTCGTTCTGAGAACTAGAAGCGCTATAGGAATTTAATGTGTATACAAGTGCGCGCACGAATCAGACGTGAAACTTAACATCAAAATACACTAGAAACTATTTCGTTAACTAAATAGTTTAGGCACCCAAACGTTTTGTAGTTAAATGATTCAAAGCCAAACCAGACCATAATAATATGTAAACCGCTTAGTACCACACTTTTGCACGTGCCCGTTACCATGTTACCATTTAATTGAGCTAAGTAAATACTAAATACATTTCCCGCAATATTATAGTCAACTCGGTACCACAATATTCGAGGTCAACATAATGACACAATAATTTTTTTAGTCACAACAGCTACTTACAGAGAATTTGTGGATTTCATATAATATAACTGAATCGACGTTAAACCGTAACTGTAATAATATTAACTAACGCACATAATTGTATTGCCATTGTACCATGTTATTTTAGTACCGGCAAGGTCTTTGTCGAGTGACACAAACCATAATTATTAAACAAAAAATATGTAATGCATATTTTTTTAACTAAAGACCATTGACTCAACAAAATATAGTTATTATTAAATTTACTTGGCGTTAACTTTTGAACATTATTAGCGTGTCTGTTAGTGTAACACCTAAATACTAATTTTACGGTTACCGACTTGTATATTATAATATGTACATTTCGTATCACTATAAAATAATAACCATACATTCGGCTAAGTTTTCATGATAACACAATCGCATTGATGTCGTCGCCAAATAAGATTTAATTAAAGCTTACCTTTTTTTCCCCGTTCAATTTAATGTATTCAAAAAAAAAATGTATATATATATATATGTAAATGTAAGCAATGAATGCAGGCAAGAAAAAAAAACCAGTAAATTTACATTGAATAGAAATTCTCCATGTTAGATCATCCGTCGTGTGATTATGTAAAACAATATAATCATCAAAACAATTTTACCAACTAGTTCACGGTTCAATACTCGCCTCATAGTAATTATTGCTATTACCGGCTTTCAATCTCCTTACACGGCTTCGAGATTAACATATATTGTCAACGAGCTGTCGAGCTATCCATTCACAATGGATATCGGTGTTATAATTTGAACACAGTTAAATTGTATTGTAGCATATTAATATATATATATATTTTTTTTATTTACCTACGTGGGACGACCCCCTTTGTTATTGATTGTATGGTTAACCCAACGTTAGTAACAACCGAGAAAGCCCATGACTTTTTATGCTTGGCGGTCACAGGTCAAATTGCAGTGACGACTTTAAAGGCACACAATTTAAGTCACAAGTTGTTTTTATATATATTTTATTTCCGACAAAACGCGTTCATTGTGGTTGAAAAAAATTATTTATAAATGGTTCGCGTTGTCGACGGACTTTGTGGGTTGCCATTTTCAAAGTACAGCAAAGCATTATAGTTTTTAATAATAATAATTGATTGATGACTATTTATTTTTCTTGGGCTACGAAATCCTAAACAATATAATATAATATTATAATTGATCACTTGTGAATATTAATACCGTCAGAGATATTATCAAGTTTTCTACGATTATGCGGCAATACGTTATATTTTATTTTATTAACAGTCATCGTTGGGTAAAAATCATAAATCCTTGTAAGAGATTGATTGGTAAAAACTACACACACACACACACACAAATGGACCGTTGATCGTTCAACATTTTTTTATATTCCTCATGTAAATTTCAAAAAAAAGTATGACCTTTTAATTATATCAGCTGTCTACTTACGATGATTTTATAATTTGTATGATGTCACAAAAAAAAAAAAAAACTTACACACCTGTGTTGTATGACAAACGTAGTCTTGTAACTTATTTACATATTTCTATTGCACGTCAAAGTATGTTGAATGAATTGCACAGTGCTTGTAGTGGCCAAGACCTATGTTAAGATGACGTACACAATGTGTTTGATTTTAATTTTTGTAAATCTTAAATGATCGATTCGCCATACGATAAATTATCGTTTTTTTTTTTAATTCAACGAAAAAAACGTCCGAAACGGAAAAAAAACCTTATAAAACTATGTGAACGATCCTTCAGTGTCACGGAATGCAAAAAAAGAAAAAAAAACATAAAAAGAATTAGGTACTTAAAAATTTATTTATTTTAAAATAAAAATATACTACTACCGGTGTACACGGCCAAGTTAAAAAATATTTTGTATGTTATACCGCACGAGTCGAGATATGTTCCAATCACATTTGTATAATTTTTGTCGTCTCAAACAGTTTGTGTGTTGAATAATTAATTTTTTTAAAACAAATTTTTAGGGAGGTGGGGGTGGAGGGTGCAAGTGCAGTGACCATACGTGTTTGGAGTCTACTAAAAAAAATGTTTTCCTTATTTGTTTGAAAGTGATTTTCAACGCTGACAGTTGAAAACAACTCTCATAGTCCACAGCGGACAGAAACTACATTTAAAAACGGACAAAAGCGTATTATGAAAAAAAAATATAAATTCCACACAACCGTGCTAACGGTTGAACTTGACTTGGGCTACTCTTAACGAGGTTCCCGGCCACTTCGGAAGTCCTACGACCAAACCGACCCCGCCTCGTTTGATCCAACCCCCTTTGGTTTTTGAATCTTTGTTAAAATAAAAACACACACAATATTAGCTTCGCGTGGCCGAGAAGGTATTGATTTTGCAATTATGTGTTTTAATTTATTTATATATATCTTGAAAAACAAAAAAACAAAATATACCATAAACCCTTACATCTAGAAGGGGTGGACATTTTTTCTTTATTTCGCTTTTTTATGTGTAGCTTTAGGGTTGAAGGTCTGGAAATTAAACCAAAGGTAGGTGTACACATGTAGTTTAACGTTATTTTTATTTAGGTTAACCCCCCCCCCACTCACCACCAAAAAAAAGGGGGAGGGGGGAAATTACACTTTGGCCATAGTCGATTTCTATAGGTCGCTAAGCGTGAGTGAACAAGTATTTGAAAATGTTTGTATTTTATTATTGTCAATCAGGGTAAATCATAACCACTCGGTTGCCTTGTATTATTTATTATTATCTTATTTTTTTTTTAAATTATTATTATTGTTGTAATAATATCATGTTTTAAACATTTAAAACTGCATCTAGTATATCCTCAGCCAAAGTAGACAGCACTAGCTAGGAACGTCTTATTATTATGGTAATCAATTATTATGGACAGACAATCAACCCCAACCGTGTCGCCACCCTTGTTGGAAAATTAAATTTTTAAGCGCATTAACGCCATTAAACGTGAACTTGGCGGTGGGCCTAATTTTTATTCATCAAAAATAATTCTAAAAAATTCCTAGTCTTTTGGGGGGGGGGGGGGTTACATTTTTTCTCCGTGAGGTTTATTATGCGGTGTTAACCGAATCCGTCGACCGCGTGTGCAGAACGATTAATAATAATGCTATAAAACCGATCGACGGCGATCGATTCGTGTGTATATGTTGTTTATTATTCGAGTGATTTTTTTTCGGTTTTATAGTCGTGGGTAGGGAAGCGACAGTGTGGAATATTGGCGAACACGGTATTGTATCGGTGGGTATACCACCTTCCACCACAGAAGACGAATATGATAATAAAAAAAAAATAGTAATAAAAATAAAAAAAAACCGTATACCGTGTGTTGCTCTCATCTTGCGCCCGCGGTATATATAAACTTTCACCGTCCGGTCCGGACCGTCTTCTATGTGCGTTCGGCCGTCCGAAGTGCACGTGTACCGCGAATCTGTCTGTGATGTGCCGCCCGTGGTATTGATAGTATTGTATATTTTTTTGGGGGTTTTTTAGAAGAAGAAAAAAAATCGTTTTTTATTATTAATTAAAAAAAAAAATCGCGAATCGGCCAGCCACCATTCGGAGCGTCCGGACGAAAGGTTAGTAAAAAAAGGGTTTATTCATGATATTATTGTATAGTAAAAACAAAAAAGTGACTGTACTTAAAATCGACCGAGTTGTGAATCGTTTGAAAAACAAAAAAACCTTTAAAGGCGTTAAATCCGTTCAAAAAACTATAGCCGTTCCGGCAATCGAGGCTCTAAGCTCGGTTGGCTTTGTTTTCAATATTCTCTTCTCAACGGGTACTGCCTAATTTGTGTGTACACCAAAGACCGGTGCGATAATTTGGTTTATTTTCAAGACAAAATAAAAAAAAAAAAGCCAAGAAGAACAATAATTGGCCATCCCGAAACGGTTAAACATGGGATGTAAATTAAACCGACCGAAAAAAGATTTTTTTTTTTTGTTTACCAGAAAACAATTAATTTAAGGTAAAGATTTTAAAGTTCTGAAGTTATTTTTTCTTATTATTTTATGATTGACACGTGTAAAGTTGATATTTTCAACAAACTTCAAAAAAAATTTAAGGAAAATATTTGATATTCTGTTTTTTTCATTATATTTTTTGTTTAAAGTTTTTTTTTTCCAACGGTAGCTTCAAAATGAAAGAAGATAATATAGTCAAAAGAACAAAATATCAATCATCTTCGCACGTATTAATCAAACGGACCAAATAGCTTTGACTTAACTCTATAAAAGATTATCCGATCAAGTTCAAATTTTGACAAGTCAATGATTTTTTGGGTTAAAAAAAAAATTTTGTCGGTCTAGTGTACATGTGCAACTGTGGCAAGCTTTTAAAATATTATAGGTTGGTACATTTTGAAAATCCTTTGCGGTCCAAACTTAAAATCAATCTTAATGAAATTTTACAATATATTTATATTGTAATTCATATTTTCGATGGAAACTAAAGAGGAAAAAAAACGTATACACATACTTTTAAATTATCATATTTATATTAAAATGGAAAACGAGAAATTCGAATTCAGCCACAAATATTTTGGAAATTAAGGGGAGGCGTTGGTGTAAGAAGAAATTATATTACTTCTCATTAATAATATTAAAAAGACAAACCTCTGAAATGTTATTTGGTATTTTTGTTAGCTTTTGAGGGCCATAAAAAATGGCCACCGTCTAATAATTTTTCGTATTTTAAACTTAAAGGGGAATTTTAATTAAAAAATGATTAAAGGAAACAGCTGTACTGGCTGCCTTTTGACATTTTTTCGTTAACGTTTAACTATAGTACAACAATCTCTTTCGGGCGAACCTAAACGACTTGAAAAATGTTTATACAAATAATAGTTAACGTTTTATTTTTTGTAAAAAGATTGACCTTTATTAAGAGAACATTTTTTTTTATAAAAAAACAAATTTTGCATCAAAGTAGTTTTTCTAAATATCGAGGCGTACCTCTCAGCCGTTTATACACGATTTTTTAAATAAAACAAAACATTGTTATAATAACAATTTATAACATAAACACAAAATTTGAAGTGAAATTTGTCAATTTTGGCGATAAAACATGGCGGATTTGTTTTGAAATTTGTATTTGCAAACATAATAACCATCGAGTGGCTGATTTTTATTAAAACGGTCGTGTTGGGCAAAAATAATTTAATGAAAAAAAATAAAGAAGAAGACTGTTATCTAACTTGCGGTAATGTTATGATTGTTATTTTTTTTAAGTCACGACGTTCGGTCTAATTGAACATGTTATTACGTGAAAAAAAGTGTAATTAATTAATTAATATAATAATTTTCGTTTAAATTCCGTTCGCCTTGCAATTATTAGAGTATTAGATGTACTATACGTTTTCTCCAGTGCGGTGTCCATCTTCGAAAACCGTCATCGGCTAAGATCCAAAATTATATCACTCAGTCTTTGCAATAACTCTCAGTTTAAAATTTGGCCCCCCCCCTTTTTTTTTTAAACTCAAAAAGGTTTTTAGTAACAAGTCATTGTACACACTAAAGGGTGGTGCATCATGTACCTATGAGAAAATAAATAACTTTCAAAATATTTATACTGTCCCTCTCCTCTCCCAAAGTGAGTGTTTGACAACAGCTGGTGATCCACCTGTACCATCATACGGTATTACTTAACTGCAATAGTCTTATGCAGTTCTCGACAGCGAATTGCTTTGACATGCATTTGTGTGTATTTTTTTTTTTTTTTTTTTGGTGTACCTACCTAGTTTCTCGGTGTTGGTAAATATTTAAAAATTTCCACCTAGATATTACAGGCGGCCGCTGCTGTAAAAAGATTTTCTCATAGTTTTGAAATCGACATCAAAAACGTGTTATCGGATTGCCATTTTACTTGTTGTTTTCTTTACCGGATTTTCGGCTGTGATACAATATTTTTTATTATACTCAACGGGCCATATTCGCGTGCACGTAACTAGTCCGCAGTTCACACGGTTAATTAAAAATAATAAATTAAAAAAAATTAACCACCTGATTATGCGAGCGCGCTTGTTGTGTTCACAATTATTGTAGACAGCTAATTACACACACTATCATTGTCGAAAAGTCGTGTGTGTGAATTCGAGTTCTGACCGACTTTTTGTGGTCCTCGTTCGTATCCTCATTCCGAAAAAGATAACGCTGTTGTAAGTTGATGTGTACAACTATTTAATTTAGACCAACCACCCGCACAGACGGCTATTGTATTATTTTGTATGTTTAAATTATTATTTTAACCTAACCTAACCGGCACACTGTTGCGTTTCGGACTCTGTGAAAAATCTATACGGCGCTGGTTTCGGTCCAAAAGGTTAGAATACTGTAAATTCCTCAGTCTTTGGGAGTTTTTGGGAACGAATACACTCCACGTAGAAAAACATAAATTAAGGCTTTGACCTTTTTCTCTTTGACTTCTTATGTCCAAGATTTCATGCTCACGCGGGTCATATCTGATTTTGACATAAAGAAAAAATAAAATAAACATCCCGGGGTGATTCGAACCCGAAACAAAACACTAATCGCTCGCTCGAATCTTTTTAAATAAACAGATTTGTTTGTTTGTTTTTTTTTTTTTTGCTGAATTTCAACTTGACGTTTTCTACGACTTTTTCCTTTAGAGTTCATTGTACTCCGTTTTTGCCTTTATCTGACATAACCGCAAGACCGTAAATAACGTCAACAATGAATGATTTAATAAAAAAACAAAACCTTTGGGTCAATATTGTTAAATGAGGTCTTATTTTATTATATTTTGTTATTTATATTTTACACCGAGTGTACCGTCGAAAACGATATTCGCATTTCTTCCTGTTTAGGCGTATTGATCAAACAATGATTATTATTATTATTCCAGACAACATCAAAACTTATTCTAATTGGATTGTCATGTTTGTGTTCCAAAGCGATTGTTGGTCGTCGTTCGACCGCGACAGTCGCAGTGAATCGGCTACATATTAGAATAACATATAATTAGAATATCTAATTGTTCGCCAACAGAATGGTCGAATATGTTATTCTCCTTGTAACGGTTTCCTTGTACGGGTAAACGTGTGAACAATATTCGTTCCTGGTTTCTCGATATTTGGACGATTTTTTAATGTTACTATACAGGGTGTCTCAAAAATAATGGCGGGGTTTCAAGCGGCTGTGTGTTCAAAGTCTTCTCATTGTTGCATTTTGTCAAAAGACATAATTGCCACATATATATATATATATATAGTATACAGGGTATAACGACAGTGTTTACAATATTTAGTTCACAGTTGTTAGCTAGTTGGAATTTGATATTATATTTGTTTTACTATACAACCCAATCCCCTAGATCTGCTGAACGCCAACGATGAACTTAAGACTTTTAAATGGTAGTAAACAGTAGTAGGTATAATAATATATTGTATATAGTATTACCGGTGGTAACCTATATATTATTTCAACTTTTTAAATTAAGAATGTTAGACAATAATTGGTGTGTTATCTTATTAATGAATCGTCCTGTGCCGTCACCATCGCAAAACTGTCTCGAGTAATTTTCAAAGCAATGTGTGTGCATAAAGCGTTCAACCGATTTATCCGTACTTAAAACGTGTACATTCGAGGGCGGTTCGCTTTATATGGTAATGTAATTCAACGGCACAAATTGCATACGAATGCATACTTATCGTTTTCAATTGTTGTGCCAGTTAACCGCCAGCACTCACAAACTAGATCCCTATTGTTATAATGCGTTACGTACCATTAAGCTAAAAAAAAAAAAACATTAAAAATAAGTTCCCCCCATTTTTTTTTTTAGCGGGATCAGATTAAATAGGTTTTTTTTTATATACTTCTCCTTTGTCTGTATAGGACTAAAGTCGGTCTGTCCAGTTAGAAGAAAACAAAAAATATTTTAAGATAAGGGTAACAACTTTTTTCACAATGTGGAATTTTTTTTTTTTTTGTGTGGCCATACTGGTTATAGTCGTGCTATTTACTTCATTATCGCACACAAGCTGGTACACTATTATGTTAGTTCATCTCTTTATATTATTACTCTCTATGCTGTAGACCTGACCGTCGGTTTGAAATCTACCATACAGACGAGTCACGGTATTCACTAGAACGGCGGCGGATTTTATGCGGGATTCCCGCCTTCGACGGAGGTACCCTCGCCGTAGTTTACCATCCGCCCGTCCATAAACCATGACGAGGGCACCTCTGTTGACGGCGGGAATCCCGCATAATTGTGGCCGCCGTTTTTGTGTACAGCACGGTTTATCTGTGGGTACATTTGAAAAAACCGACGAATTAGAACTTGGAATTTTGATTATTTTTTTTTCCCGGCTACCGTTATGGATAATAACAATATATCTAGATAATATACCTAGTGGATATGTATATATATATATATTCTAGCAGGTGCTATAACAGGTGTTTGGTAAACATTATGTTGTAATGGCCGCGCTGCATGTCGTATACACAAACCCCCCGCGGTTGGCTGTGGTTAAATGCCAAAGCAAACTAGTCGAGGCGCAGGTAAAGCACACAAACGATTTAACCGGTAGCAACAGTGCCCGACAACAATGGCTAGACCGCTGAGCGGAAACAATTTGCAGTTTATCCACCGCCGCCTTCGATAAGATCAAATGGAAATATTTATCAAGCCCAATACCGTTTTCGGAGCTCCGATACTCGTTTGTTGGGTCAGAGCTGCCAACAACATGTCTGTCGAAGGCCACCGTTTAGGTTGAGTCGATGTGGAGCCGAGGAGGTGTTGTTTTAAAAATGATGTGTCTTTAGATAAAAAAAAATTCCAAAAAAATCATCCCTTCCCATTTAAAACCGAGAGGAAAAATGTACAATTTTTCCATCTTGAAATTATCGCACCCCCCCCCCCTAAATTTAAGTCGTTTTTAAAATTGCAGTTTTCTCTAATTTTTCACACGTTTTTTGCCTTTACAACGCTTTTATTGATATTTTATATTTAAACCATTGAACAGACTGTCATGGAAGCGTTTATTTTTAAGTGATTTTATTCCTGTGCTGTCTTTCGAATAACAATACATTTTTACAAAGGTGACGTTATTAACTTTTTTTCCCCATTTTTTTTTTCCAGGCGACATTCAAAACGTCCACAATGTTGTGGAAATGGTTGCCCGTTTGTTTTCTGGCGGCTTTCGTGCAGGTAAGTCAATATGCGGTACATTAGCATAGCATTAGTTTAAAAGGGTAGTGTTTTTGCTTTTAAAACGAAAATCTTAAATATAATATGTCTTGCGATTAATGGTTATAGTTGAAAACTGAACATCGACAACATAAAAGAATTTTATAAAGGTTTTTAGATATTAAAAGCTTTTGCCGACCGTTTTTTATTTTTATTGATAAAGCGATAGTAGTCACGTTTGTTCAATAACAAAATTATATTCCTCGTCGATATCAATAACGGTTATCCAAGGAAACAGTAGAGGACGAGTCGGTCACGGTTTAAGTACGAATGTTAAACTTTGCTTTATTATATTTTGGTTGGAATGTTTTTGTGCAAGTTCTGTTTAAAAATTCATTTCGTAAGAGCGGAAATGTCTTGCGAGCTTATCCGTTTGTCAATATTTGAAAACAATCGAACGTCAAACGGAAAGTTCATTTTTTTTTTCAGAGTATTCTGTTATTGTACTCGTTCGGATAAAATACATTATGAAAAAAAAAAATACCGACAATAAGTTCTGCGAGCAAATAAAAATATGTACTTGTGTGCAAAACTAAAATATAAACAGCGTTTTGCTAACCTGTAAAACTCCATTAAACAAACACACTAACGCGGTCTGTGAATTTCTTAATAAGTAATTTACAAAATCGGTACATAATTCACCTATCTCTCTTCCTTTTAGGAAATGTCCACTACTTCACAATGCCGTTTACTAAAAATGCAAACCTTTAGCCGATTTCTACAATTTACTTGGCGAAATAATCTCCGCTCTATTGTTGGGCGCTCTGTGTTTTTTTTTTCTGGCTTAACTCGATGACCTCTCCGTGCCTTTATTGGCGCGTTAACGAGAGTCGATTACCATCGTAAAAAAACCCAAAACACATAACGATATCAACGACTCTAACGGCACGTGTTACACAACGATTGATAGGTACATTGCATTGTATTGTACAAAGCGTATCCGAAGACGTTTTGTACGATTGTTGGTACTAATTGTTGTTATTAAAAAAAAAATACCTACCTCTTTGCTTTCGCTTTTCCGTCACAATGCACGCCCCGATACACTTCTGTATAGTGTATAATAATATTAATAATATAGTCGGTAACAACACTATTTTAATTATTATGCACACGTGGTAAAACATAACCCCAAAATTCAATATTAATGTTTTGGTTTTACGTTAAAAATATCGTCTCGCTAAATATATTTCTATATTTCTCCGAACTTCATAATTTATACTTTAATATAGTACGGTACAAATCGAACCGAAGGCGTTTTCTTGTCAAAACTCCCGGTGGTTTCTTGCTTATTTCGTTTGTAGCATTTTCAACCGGACATTATAATTATTTTGTCAGAAATGATGTCGCTAGAAGGTTGTTAACATTAATTATCACAAACGAGGTTACTCCTTAAAGGAAACGAACACATTTTTTCCAATTCATATTTTGTATTTTTTATGGCAAGCTCTTTCTAATGGGCTCTTGGAATCAACTTTCTGTCTCTTGTAGTTTAATAGAAATTTGAGCCTTTATAAGATGTGTATGCAATCCGATCTACGCGTATATTATCTTATATTAATCTCATTGTTAGTGTGTAGCATTTTGCTTTTTTTTCCCATTCAAAAGAAAACTCTTCATTTTATCAACATCAAACTTTTTAGCTGCGACGCGCGATAGCTTTATAAAAATCCGCGGACGACAATGATTAAAATGCCGGTAGAGTGTAATTAGTTTTACAACGACAAAGTCCCGAATTCAATAGGATAGGGGCTAATAACTTCTTTAGAGTCCTGCCCAGGACCGGAAACCGAACTTGCCTTAGAGTCGTATCCGCTATCCCGCCGCCGGTCTACGCATTAATCATTCAAGACAAGACCGTTGCACAATAACACTGTAATAATTTTAGCTGGCCTATTGACGGATCCGGCCAAAACCGACCACGGTCTTGCGTCACGCCGATTATTGGGGATATTGCATTCCACGCAGATGGATGGACCGAACGGTTATTAACAGAGTGCCCGTTTTAATATTATGATATTTTAGTGATGATAATACTGTTATCGACCAAGGCCGTCGGCTCGCCACCGGGATTGGCGCAGAAAGACAGTCGGGTGACATTTGACTCGTCTTCGGCGAGTTTGAGTAAAAAATATAATGGCTATTGCAAAATCCTCTGTTAATAATAATTCAATACGTTTGTAAATGTCACGGCGATTTCGTATGCGTGCCGTGTCGTCGTCAATCGGTTCGTCACCGTCATTTGTATCATATTGTTATTGTATTTTACAAACTGTTTTAATCATCGAACCCAGCAGCAGCTGTTGACCAAAATAATATTATGAAAAATTACACTCAGACCGAAAAACCCTAACTGTTTTCTCAGCTTTACCGAAAAACATTTAATCATGGATTGTTATCTCTAATCTCTTATCACTTACCGTTATCTCTTATCCCTTATCTTTTATCATTATCTCTTATCCCTTATATCTTATCACTTACCTCTCATCTTTAACTGAAAGTGAAATTGTAACACGAAAATGGCGGCATGAAATTTCTTGTATCCAGCCCCAAAGACATGTCCATGTTGAAAAAAACAGCTTAATGCAGTCGAGGCATAACGGGGACGGACCATAGTGAACTCGGTGTAGTCTCGGGACAGTTACAATAAACTGTTATCACAACTGACAGCCAGGATGCAAAAATTAGACAAAAAATTGCAGTTGAGTTATAAATGAACAGCGATTCGAGAGCTTTTCAATTTGGTGTTGGTGAGGGATGGGTATGAGGGAGATATGGGGGAGTATGGAGTATAAGCTATGGATCAGGGGAGTATCTAAAAAATTTAGAACTTTGTTAATAGATATGTATGTATGCGAGGAAGTCTAAGCGTACAACGCTGGAACGCTTGGAGCAGTTTCAACCAAACTTTGTGCACATCTATGATGGACAAACTGGAAAAAAAAAAAAATTCTGGGTGCATATCACAATATAAAAGCCATTGTCACTATCAACTAGTTGACAGTTGAGAATATATTTCTAGACCCAGTCGACTGTTGATTCATTCACACATTTTTTTGGATTATTTTGTCAATTTTGAAAGGGAGTGGGTGGACTTCTTGAACTGTCGGCCCAATAAAATTCCTTTCATGTACGATTTCTTATCTATAGACGTGTAAAACGGTTCAAGGGATTTGGTTAAGATACAAAAATTTAAAAAAAAGATACATCATTTCTAAAACTATTAACTTCTCAGACTTCGCCTCGAGGGTCACGTTTGAACAACTCTTCCGGTGTGTGCTATATTGACTTTGTTGTTATTCTATCGGAGGAATCGTGAAAGTCACATTGAATCGGTCCGTGAACTACACGAATTATGTAATGGTAAACGGGCTGGCAAGGTCATCCTTGTTCTGTGTGAAAACGGGCATCCATTTTATGAGTTAAAACTACTGTCCGATGAGAAAATTCTAAATCACCATCAATGGTAGTTTTATACTCAAAATTTTGATAGTTATTTTTAGATTTTTTTGAAAAAATTTCTGACCTGTAGGTACTTTTATTATAATACAATTTTTGCCTTTACTTAAAAACGGTACAATATTCAAAAATTTCAAATTACACTCTTCGAATAATATTATTAGAGGTAAATAATATTAATTACAAGGATTTTAAATATAATTTTGTACCATGTAATTGTGTGTTGATACACAATTTTGTGTAGACAAATCACGCTTAGCACTCATTTGATTTGGAAGTAGTTTTCTAATTCGAATTTTATACGTATGAACTGTACCGAACGAGACAGTTAAGAAATACTTATAAAATTTAGCTCGTTGGCTGAAACTTCTCAATCTGTTATATATTATATTTAAAAACAAAACAAGTCTATCAAACGCACCGGGAAAATTAAATTGTGAAAACTTCCACCGCGAAAGGATATTTTTAGTAATTACATTTTTTTTTTTTTTGATAAATAAAAGAAAGAGAAATATGAAAGTTTTGAAAAAAAATATTTAAAAATCAATACAGAAAAAATAATGAGGGTGAAATTATTTTTTGTTTTTGTGGTCGCAATAAATAAGTGTGCAAGCGTCTCTTTCGCTTTGGGCAAAAATGTATTATTGAAAATCCAAAAACCATTTGTTCGCCTCTGCGTTTGTTGTTACTTTTAAAAGTTTTTATAACTTTTTTTTATTATTAGATTTTTGTTTTTGTTTTTATGGGTACAACGTGATATAGTATACAAAGACAAAATATAAAAAAAAAGAGCGGCGCGCGTTATAAACTAAAACCGACAAAGCTACAGCACATATTTTGTTATTATTATTTGTATTTTTTATTTTTGAGTTGCCATCGAATTCATGAATAAAATTACAATATTGCCAAATGGTAGCCGAGTTTAGAAATTTACCAATTAAGAAACAACTTAAACGGCTCGTCCATTACAATAATAACAATTCAAACACACATTATAATTGATTTGCTCACAAACGATACGAATCGACGTATTTTGCATTTATCGGTAATTTATTATCATTATTTTTTTTTTAATGTAATATATTTTCACAAACATATTATATCATTTCATTCAGAGACAAGGTTGACCTTGTTGAGTTGTCCGACACAAACATAACCGCCGACAGACACAATATGTGTTATGAGGACATTAGTCTGGTGTAAACAGAAGCGTTTGCAATTTTTCCCAAACAAGTTTTATCGAATTCAGCATAATTTAATCGCGGTAAATAGTAATTGCGGGTTAGAAAAAGTTGCTGGACAACCTAAACAAACTGGTTATAGTATCATCTCAGAGCGGCGTTATTGAAAATCCGTTGGCAGATTCACAGGAGAGTGAAATCAATTTTCGATAACATTTACATTAAGATTGCAAAGTTTGGCTCAAACTGTGTCATGGCAAGTTTTTTTTTTCGTTATTGGTAATACACTCGAGTAGGTAACATTGAGTGTGTCCAACAATAATA